CAATTTAGTTGTGAGCAGAACCTTAGATATCTTTTAATGCAAAATCCATTGTACATAAGAACGTATAGGTCAAGCAGGAGGTCCTTGCATTTCAGTGAACACTGGGAACTCAACGGGAACCGACTGGGTGATGACATTACTCTTTTGTATGCAAAATCCAACACTGTACAGTACAGTAGTGTGCTCAAAGTACTAGTAGCCAGATAAATGTCTGTGAATATATAGGACTGACCTTAACTCTGTGGACCTGTGATACCTCTCCACTACAATGTATCAGAGTACATCCCTCAGTTTCATTCCAGCATCTGCTTATATTCTAGATATTGGAATAGCAGCGCATGCTGGTATATAGGCAGTGGGGTTTTCAGTGTTCTGTGAAACTTTGTCTGAGTACGAGTCAATTAAGCGGTAATTTTAATTCTGCGCTAAAGTAAACTTAAGCCTTTGCCCAGAATAGAAGTTATCGTACCAGCAGGATCTATCTATCTCATCGGGGATTCACGCTTAAGGCGCAGTCAATGTAATTAGATTAATTGTCTGGTCTAACTCACACCCGTTTGCAGTATTATAGTCGAAATGAGTAAAACGTTTTGATGTTGATTGTATCTTTTAAATAAAAGGAAAATATGAGCGAGTAGCTACTATACAGATTTGTTTCTAAAACCCTAAAAACGTTTCGTTTATATCAGGTATAAGTCAAAGTAATGGCTTGTCTGACAAGAAGTTTATTTACCGTGGGTTAAAATCAGATATTTCAATTATTTCAGGTACCGCACAGCTTTCAAATGACAGTTTTCTCCTCCATCTGGTTTTGGCGCTCGTTGTGACAAAAGACTTGGTGCTATGAACTACGGGATATCACGTTTCTATAGTAACAGGGAATGCAGCACGGAGCAGTGGCGTTCGTTCGAGTGCGGAAATGTGGCGAACATTAAACTTGAATAATAGCGTGACGATTATTTGTTACATTCTACAGTTATATATTGTTACATAGCTTGTAAAAAACACGCAATTTTAATATTTATTTTCAAAATAAGAGTTTATGTATGAAATAAAATAATCACTACGCTATTTACAAACCATTTCTTTTTAGCGCTGTGAACGTACTCTCACTTTTAGCGAATTGAACGGGACGAGGTTGGGCGGGCTAGCATAAGGGGTAAAGGTGGGGTCTCATCTAATTATTCTGTCATTTTACTTTGACCAGGTTTTCTTTCACGAATATATAAAGAGTTTTTGAAAATTCAGGTGTTCAGGACGTTCCTGTCTGAGCGCTTAAAAATACAGCCCTAAATGGCGCATGCGCAGCACTACTTATCACAGCAAATCGATAGCCTCCTGCGCAACCAGTGTCTTAGCCAGGAGAAATTAATTCAACTCCAATTCATTTAATCCAAACTCGTTGAAATATATTTTATGAAGAGTTGCTTTCAGACACATACTGGTGCCCGCTATTTCACACTCACGTGCCCCACGCCTTGATTTATCACGTGGATCACGTACACAGCACACGTCCCTAGCTGTGTCAAGTACAAGTACAACAGCAACCACAGAAAGGTGCTATTGTCAAAACGCGTAATGTCAATACCCCTGCATGCTTTTCATTCAAACGATTCAATTGAATAAGTTCACTTTGGGTCAACCTAGCAATACCGTGTTATTATAAGGCAAATATCGATCGAAATCAGCAAAGTTTGAAATGCTAGTAATGAACAGATAAGTGTTTATGACATAAGGGCTTGATGCTAAGATAGAAATAGCACATATTACTGGTTCAAAGAAATCAATTTTGGAAATTTACAAGGAGGATGCGAAACTGAAAATATTTTATGACGCAGCACTTTTTATGTCAATAACATCACCTGACGATTTTCGACGGGCGCCATTTTATACACCTTACCTGGGCAAAATTTTGACGGAATTCAAGGACAAACGTCATTTTCAAGACTTAATGGAAAATATGACTTGACTTTAGCATGTGAACTGTACTTGGAAGCCCGCAAACTTTGGTTTTATCTGCGGAGTGGAGACGAACTTGCCTTGATGAAGTTTTTTCGAGAATTGGGTGTGAAATCGGCAGCTGGCCGCTCGCACTTTTAAAGGTATAGTATGAGGCTTATACCTTATATCTAAGATGAGACTTACTAATGCATCTATTTATAACTATTTTCAAAGATAACCTATTTTTTCATCTAACAAAACATTGTAAGTTTCAATTTATTTGAAGCCAACGAAGAAAAGCAGGTCCTACATATACTCAGTACCTTGGCTCAAAAAATTAAGATTCTTTTCTAGTAATCTTTTCCCACCTTTAACACTATCTGTAAGTAAATTATTTATGTTGTAATAATTATAACTCTTTTGTATCTCCGACCCAACAGAACTAGACAACACGTTTTTATGTACAGACACAGATGTGTCTGTACATATAGCCATCATCTGCGTCTGTCGTCGCCGTCGTNCTCAGGGTGACAAACCTGTGACGTACGAGACTTATGACTTCCAAATATGGATCCAGCGGACACAGCTGTGACGTGTGACTTCCAAATATGGAAGCGCCCCAGGCAGAATTTTGAAGAAGAACGCCCCCGAGTTGCCGCTGTTCGCTAGAGCCTGGTATTGCTACTATGGGTTATATATGAAATTAAGATCGAGCTGGCAATACCGGAATATAGAACCTAGGGTAGAAAAAAATGGACCCCGCCTCCTTTAAGGCCGGTGATAGGGTTAAATACGCTTAAAATCATGTTTTTTGAGTTTTTTGTGTGTTTATATTAATCAAAAAGTATCTAACGTTGGATGTAATAATTTTTATGAATTTGCATCGCAAAATGTGTCTTTTGATGAGTTTTTCAACCGGCACGCGCCTCAGTCAGGCTGACAACTAAGCCACGCCTCTGTTACTAAGGGCCGTTGCCATGAGGGGGTCGGAGCACAGTTAATGAGTTATAAGCCGATTACGTGTGCGGTAATAGGTCATAAGTCTTACATCAGCTTAGCAGCGAAGACATCTAGCTAGTAGACTATGGGGAAGAGAAAAGTTCGTGTTAAAAGTCCATTTCCTGAGGAAAGAAAGAAAATTTTGAAAGAGAGTAGGGCCTATGCGTGGCGGTTGGGGAAAACCGGTCCTATTTGTTCCGACGGATGACTGATTTCTGAATACCTAATAACAGGGCAAAAGAGTTAATCGAATCGTCTAAATTAATTGACAAATGAAAGAAAAATCGATAAATTAAAAAAAACGCTAAAAAGGATACTTTTAGCCTAGCTAATTTTTGCAATATATATCGGCGAGCGTATCTGCGACACGTTACGAAACCGGAAATGATTGTTGATCGCCGTTTGCAAAAGGTAAATCTAATGTTGACAAAATAAAATTTTATTCTCCAAGATATGATATCATGGAGCTTGAGAGACACGCGAAAATTTGTGATGTGAATGGCCAAACGAGAGAAATCCAAGCAAGGGTTGACAGCATGGTTAAAACAATAAAAATAAAAACGCATGTTAGCGGCATTGCATTTTGCGATGTTTGGAGAAAAACAATTTCAAAATCACTGAGCAAGCGGGAAGAAAGATTTCAAAATGTATCCAAAAATGAAAATCACAAAAAGACCCCGAGAATAGTCAAGACTAGCAGGAAAAAAGCAAATAGGGTCTAAGTGTCATGTGTGTAAAAATAAAATATTTATTCAAAAGTCTTCTCTCAGCCACTTTTATCGCTGATTCTTGTGCAGCTGAGCGTCTCCCCTTTATCTTAGCTGGCATTTTGAGAAACACCGCTATGAAGTAATCACTGGATTTTTCCGTTGATCTGACGATTACCAAGTGTCGTGCAAAATAATCCTGCAGCGTTACCCGTCAAAAAACTCGTATTAACACAAGTGACGGACACTTGCTCTCGACACAGATTTATCTGATCACTTTGCCGATAACAAAGAAGGAATCTCTCAGGTAAAATTACCCGATTGCCGAGGAAGAGCCATTGAAACGTTCAAATGCAACTTCACACCTCTTAATTGCGGTTAAACGTAACCGCCTTTGTTAGCGCTTCCTTCTACATATCCTTGACACCCTACGGGGCATCACTAGGCTAGGGCCCTCTCCAGAGCTGTCAATCAAAATGGCGGCACGCTTACATGCCTAACGAGTGGTCGGAAAATGAAACAAAAGCACGATTTTCTGCCCCTTCAAAACACCCAAACAAAATATTTTTAGATGACAATATTTTTAGATGGCAATGATTCCATCTGATCGTATAACCGATAACAGGTAAATTTGCCAGCTAAGCACTTGACTAATAAGCCCTGTTAACCAACCTGTGAACGTTTTTGGCTGTTTTAACAGCTTTCTATATTGACGAGATAAGTGAATCGCTGCCAAGTATATCTCACTATCTGAGCAACCGATCGTTACAAAAGTTGCACCTATTGTTGTTAGGAATGTGGACTACAGCATGATATCAGGGATTTAAGAGAAAATTGTTTGTTTGAAAGTTATCGCCTTTTGAAGTGAATAACCCATTGAAATATGGGCTGATTTAACGTAAAAGATGATAAAATCAAAAGTAAATAGTTTAAGACAATTCCCTGGTACCCTGCTGTAGTGCTTTCACCCAGCTTTATGAGGCTTTTTGAATCACTTGAATAGCTGTCTTGGTTATAGAGAAAATCCCAATACCGAAAACGGCATTTTTCCCCTCAAATTGGCGCCAGAGCGTCATCCGTTGGACACTGTACTTAATCCCCGTCTTTAATTGGCCTTTTGGGAAGTTTGTTTTAATTTTTTATAAAAACTTATAAGCCCAGGGCTTTTTTTTCTATGACTTTGGCCCTTTTACTATCACCGGCCTTAAATCATCCTGGATCCGCCCCTGCAATGAAGGTTATGCACCGTTTATACACATCAGAATACATCCACATTCGCTCCGGTCTTCACGGTATATGTATTTATAATTTCTGAACTGACACGGCGTATTTTTATTTCATTTTTTATATCAGAGCCAGCAAAATGTGAGCCAAAATACCAAAACAGAGGCACCAATCATCTGACAATCAAGTGGGAATCGGCAACAGGCGAGGTTCAGACCTATGGGGTAGACTTAATTGTGAAAGACGAAATTGTCCGATCTAAAAACAATCTTCGGGATAGCAGCACAGAAGTCACATTTGATGAACTACTTCCAGGAACTGAGTATGATGTGATAATTCACACTGTAACAGATAGTGCAGACACACAAAGTTATCCTCTGCGAGTTTGTGCAGGTATTTTTATTTAATGTTATTTCATGCATCCTATTAAAATAACTACTATCTTTGGTCACTAGCTGATGTAAAGGTGGTTCGGGTTAGTAAGCTGTACTGGTCAAAACATTTTGAATGTTACTAATGAGACTAAACTTTATAAACACTAGATAATCGTTATAAATTTTGTGTGAGCGTTAGTTTCTATGTAGTGCACACGGTTCTCAGATATAGATAGAAAATGGAACAACTACATAAGGTGCCAAGGAACACAAAACCAACACGAATCTGTTTGCTTTAAAATGACATATCAATTCTCTTAAGGTCCCGAGGAGATAGTGGGCTGTGAAATAACGCATCTGTCCAACAGGTGTTTACAGCTTTCCTGGCAGCGCCCGCAGAGACATGTCAACTATTTCCAAGTATTTTATTGGCCGAGTGGGAAGAGCTGTAGTTCTAAGTGCGAAGAGACACGGGAGACACTGATTGTCCTCTCAGATTTGGATCCTGATACATCTTATGAGGCTCGTATCACAACGGTGTCAAAGGAAAGGACAAGTAAACATTATCATATTACATTTGCTACAGGTATAGAAACATCATTGGGAACGCTTTTTCATGCTTTTACGTGGTACAAATGGCCAAAGATGCAGGTTAAGGAAATCCAATTGTAATAATTCACCCAAGTTACTTATGAGTCCAGTGTTTAATTGTTGTTTTTAAAATGTTCTCAGCGTCGAGTCGTAAAAATATCAATACAAACATGTAATGCTTAAAAACATCTTTTTTTCAAGACCCGGGGGTACCGTTGGGTTTTACACGGATATACAGAGGTTTGAACAGCGTGAATGTAAAATGGAACAAACCAAAAGGTTTATTTGACCATTTCATTGCTCGATGGCGTTTACAAGATGAGGAGGAGACAAATGAAACCAGAGATACAACAAAGACACAGCATATAGTTCCTGGCTTATCGTCTGGTATACAGTATGAAGTCTGTGTTTCTTCCGTCAGTAACGGGAAGGAAAATGAACCCTGCTCTATTGACGTGCAAACAGGTGGGATATTCAGTGGATAAAACATGATTTCTTATATGTATTGCAAATGTTTATTCTCTTCATTCTTAATTCTAACAAGATTTACATGTATGATCCCCTTTCAGCTTTGATGAGACTACTGTAATTTGATACATGTATGAAAGCATTTACGGAGCTCTTTCTAAAACATTTTTACCAGAATCAGCAACAATAACAGCAATCGACATTGAACCTGGTGTTTATAGTTTAAAGTTAAAATGGAAAATGTCCGAAGGCAGAGTTGATAGATACCAGGTACAATTTTATGGCCCCAAAGGTCCACAAGAGAGAATGATGTGCCCTACTGGAAAGACAACACTCCAGAAACAGCTTACCTTGCCAAGCCATTTGCCATGCGAAATAACCAGAGAAGCATACCTTTTTGTTCCTGGTGCTGAACAAGTAAGTGTCAGCTCTTTGTTCACCCTGAGTTTGTAACCTGCTCTATAATCTGACAAGGCAAGGAAACGTACATTTTTGTTCACCTTTGAAATATTATAGCATGGGCATAATCTGTTAGAACTTTGGAGTAAGATGCCGTGGCGGATTAAGAGGGGGTGTCAAGGGTGTCCTGACACCCCACCCCCTTTTCGGTTTATGAAAAAAGGTCACACCAAGTCACACCTCTTGACATTCGAATTTTGAAGAGCTGAATCAGAGTTCTAAACTGCACAAAACGACACTGTTTGCCTTCCAAAAAAAACGAACCCCTCACCAAGGGGGTAAGGGTCGTCTTCGCATCCGGGGACTAGCTGTCATTCTTGAATAAATTGGACCACCCTTAAAATCATCCTGGATCCGCCCTTGCTTACATTTATTCTTTTTCAAATGTGTGAAATCGAATAATAAAGCAATTTGTAAAATATGACAATTAAAAAAACTGATGAAGCAAATTTACCTCGAACTGAAGTTGTGAGCTGTGGCAGGTAAAAAAAAGAAAGGTAACGCCAAGTTTCATAGTATATAAATAGATCATTTGTGTATAAACTAATATATTCTACAGGTGTTTGGACAGTCAAGCAGTACATTTTTTATTGTCCGTGGTGAGAAACTTCACTTCCATCTACGAAACTGACAGAAACCTTGTTTCAAAGTATAAAATTCAAACTGAAAAAAAAAAAACGATTAGCAACATTTGAATGTAAAGCTTTATCCTACCTTTATCGGCGCGGTCGCCAATCGTATAAGCACTGTTTCATGAGAAGTACAAAGAGATCCACCCTGCAAAACTCGTTCGCAGATTGCTTTATTTTCCTTTAAACCTTATTTCATGAGGCTAAGAAAATGATGAAATAAAATCTTCCCATGACCCTCATGAGGTTAGATACAAATGCTATATTAAAACTTCCAAGATAAACTATAAAAGTACTAACAAGTTATAGAAAAAACAATTATTTTTTATAAAATTTTACAGACTCATTTAAGACTTGCTTTCGTTTATGAATTTTATGATTTTATTGTGAAGCTTGTTCCGTTATGAAGTATTAAGCCCCAAATGGGTGTGTTATTTGCTTTTATATGTGTTTGCCACCAGACAAGATTAACTGCTGCTGCGTTGCGGATCTTGTTTTCTCTTTGTAGCATCAGTCATTTCTTTGCTGAATAATGTAAATAACTTTATATCATGGTAACTTTTCCATAACCTATTCTTTTTTGCAGGGGGGTGATGCTGGCAACAACCAATACATTCTTACAGATGCCTGTTGGACACGCAGCAAGGAGTGGATCGTGAAATTCAATTCACAGGAATTGTATCTACACCGTGGACACAAGATCTGGGAAATTAATTTATGGGAATTAATGACCCGAAATGTACAGCAGAAGAGAAGTGATACTGTGGGGCGAAAAGAGGCCCTGAAAAGAAACCAAAGACATTTGACTACAAATGAAACGGGTCTTGTTATATCAATGGGTTGTTACGGTGAAAAAGCAAAGCGGACTAAAACATCATTTTAAGACGTTCATATTTCTTGCATTTTCTATTATAGACGTTTTAAATTGACAACGCCAAATTTATCTTATTTTACTAAACTTTTGAATGGCCCACGGCAACAAATGGACTTATAAGAATCATTAGCGTTGCATTTCAAAGGGCAGATCAAGTGCAAAATTTAGTTGCGGGGTCGAATTCCTCATATATGGCAGAATTGCCGTCTGAAACTGTTGTATGTATTTAGTCGCGACACGTGAGCACATTTAGTAATCTTTGCCATAGTGTGCACGTAATTCAACATTTGCATGACAATATTCTACGTGTATAAAATTGGGCATAGCAAATTATTGTTAGCCCAATTTTTTTTTTATTGTTGCTGTTAGCTACAAAGACTATATTCAGTGATTTAGATATTGACAGTCCTTCTATAAAGAATAGTTGAACCTAGATAACAAAAACCAATGGATTGCAAAGATAAAACTATTAATTTTTATATGCTATGCGAAAAATGCTGGGTTTTGTCACACGTGGATAAAGGACCTAAGGGCTGTATCTCTACGGGATACTGAAAAGGAAGAAGCGATTTGATATCAATACTGATATCAGTAAATACATTATGATAACAGTAAATGTATTATAAAGCACAAACGTGAATAACGAAAGCAAAATTGATACATATTATAATATTCAGACAACGTAACGATTTTCAATGTGTATTTTTTAATATTTATGTATAATATGTATATCAAGAACGCAGTAGCAAGGAATAAGTAGCAGCAGAGTAAAAGCTTTGTTCTGCAGAATTTATGAAAAGTGATTTCTAGAAAGAAATGAAAAACTAAACTAGAAAACAGTCACAAATATACAGACTTGACATTTAATGTGGAATATTTTTTCTAATAATTTTTCATTTGGTTTTTCCTATTTTACAGACTGATAAATGAAAATAAGGATTAAAATCGTGTTTTAATAACTTTTTATTATTTCTTTGTTGTCATTGTGACATCATTTCATTAATGGAATTCGCCAGAGAAGCAAACAAAAACACAATGCCTATTCTATGTCATACGACAACCATTAAATGGATATTTTGGACCTGCATATTTTCCGAATTATTGTCTGTTAAAGAGTAAAACGCTCCGCAAAAGACCCCATGTCAGTGTCTAGTCACAGTAACGGTCGCTGTTACGCCTGACTTCTTCTGGCAGCTACCAGCGCTCTCAAGTGGCAAGGCCCATTCAATGGGATAGGTTTTTAAAGTTCAATCTGGAATAACATTCCAGGCATTGGTCAAAATCTGCCCAATTTGGTCCCGTTTTGTTGTAGGACATGTAGGCCATTGATTCGGAGAGTAATGGCCTACCCACATATTGTCAATGTGGTTCAAATGTGGCGATTTTGATTACCAAGATAGCTGCTTATTCCCTTGGTTCTGTAAGTAAACTGCTATTAAAATATCTCTGTGTGAACCGGCAATCTCACCGTGCAACCTAAAATTGTTCCTAAGTTGCCCCCTATCAAATGATAGCCAAGTGGTTCCCAGATTATTTCTTTATTTGATCTAGTTCAGGTTTTCGTCGATGAATACCATTGGTGTTTTGGCACCAATGTGGTATCCACTCCAAATACTGATGCTGTTAATGGCCTTAGTCACTTTAAACGCCGCACACGCTTCGTCGTTGGGCTCTTCTGGATGTCTGTAAACTCTGTTTTGACTGTTGAGCGGTACAGGTGAAATCTGACCTCAATAAAGAAAGCTACGAAATTTCAGTGTTCAACCCAGAAACAGCCAAGGTCCCCAATTCAATAGAGAAACATGCAACGATGTTTTGCTGTTTACAGTGGGTTCCTCGGAGGTAGTCTGGTATTCTAACCTGCTAAAACCAGTTTGGTGTAAGGGCCTTGAAAATGCGTTTTGGTGGTAATTAACCCCTCATTCTGAACGGACTTGGTGGTTTTTGTTTAGTTGCAACAGCATATCCCGAAGGACAGTGGGTCATATACCCTCGTGGTAAGATTTCAATACATTGGGTGTGGCCTCTGTGACGGTACATCAGTCTGGACATTTAATACTCTGTAAAAGTGTGCGGACCGTTTTGTTTGGCGCAATTACCTGTCTGGCTTTGCCTGTCTTTTTCTCGACATTTTGCCACAGGTTAACAAATCTCATTTTACACACCGCAAACCCGGCCACTTGTATGCAAAATTTCAAATTCTTCTATGCAGTAGTTGCCGACATATGGATACTTTTTTGACAGAACTTTGCTTTGTCAAAGCCAAGCTTTGACCTGCCCAAAGGCGGATTACCCAATTAAATCACTGCATAACATCATGCAGCAGCGCAACAAACCTGGTAATCATTTAATTGGTAGCGACACACCTGACTACCCAGCAGGCATAGTCGCGTTGGATCAACGTTGAAAACAGGTTGATACGTTGGATTGCCATTGATCTACCTAAATTCATCGTAAAACCAACGTTGATCCAGCCACGCCAAAACACCGTCATAATGTGACGTTGACTCAACGTTGTATTTTGGTCATTGACACAACCTTTGCAGACATGGATTGTAATTTAAAATGTTAATTATTGAAAACGTGACACTTTGTTTATCAATAATGTAACTAACGTAATCAAAATAATGAAAAATATTGCTTTAACGTAAAAGTGACAGTTGTTTTGTGTCTTTAGTGAACTAGTGAATTTCTTAACTTGTTATTCAAAAATACATTCCAATAAACTGAATTCCTTGCAAGGTCAGCTAACACTAGGATGGATAAGTTGCTGTAAATGTGATGGAGTGACGTAAATAAAGTTGACAGTTCTCGATACCCTGTTATAGATAGACAGGTTGAGGTGACTGTGACTTTGTTATATATATATATATATATATATATATATATATATATATATATATATATATATATATATATATATACATACTTCACCCCGTCTAAATCCGCCACGGAGAGTGTTGAACTAAGATGCTTGCAGTTCTTGTATTAGGGCATTGAACATTGACTCTCAAACCAACAACACAGCTCGAATATCCTAACGATATGAATGATACGAAAAGAATGGAGAATTCATCTCTGCAGACGAATGAAGGGGAAAAAACTTTCATAAATAATAGGGAATATTTGTGGTACATGCATCTTGTAGAAGACTTGCCGATATACTGTAATCCATGCAAAACCATAGAAGTAGAGAAAAGGCAAAACAGAACTTGAATCAAATGCTTGCGCATGTGCAGATAGCGCCCCGTTTGAAACTGAAGTTNTATATATACTTCACCCCGTCTAAATCCGCCACGGAGAGTGTTGAACTAAGATGCTTGCAGTTCTTGTATTAGGGCATTGAACATTGACTCTCAAACCAACAACACAGCTCGAATATCCTAACGATATGAATGATACGAAAAGAATGGAGAATTCATCTCTGCAGACGAATGAAGGGGAAAAAACTTTCATAAATAATAGGGAATATTTGTGGTACATGCATCTTGTAGAAGACTTGCCGATATACTGTAATCCATGCAAAACCATAGAAGTAGAGAAAAGGCAAAACAGAACTTGAATCAAATGCTTGCGCATGTGCAGATAGCGCCCCGTTTGAAACTGAAGTTTGTTACGCAGATGATTTTGGACTGGTTGAGACTATAATTTCAACAAAATGGCCAAACAACGTGATTTTCATTACGCATGTAGTATTTTTTATACTTATTATAATCGACTATTAAAAAATGAAAACCAATTAAAATAGTCCTGCAACATTGGAAATTATTTTATTTTTGCTTTTAATCTTAAAGCCCATTTTCTCTTGTCTCCATTGTTTATACACATAGCCTCACTTTAAAAAAAAAAAGAAAAAACGGGAATATCGGTCAAAACGCAGAAATCGCAATGAAAAACGCAATATCGGCTACTAATTGCCTCCAAAAGATGGTTTTTAAATTTGCACCACGCGCAAGTGGTCTATCTACATGTACCACTTTCTAAATATTTTTTCAAATTACAGGGTTACCACTTAATATGGAATATTATTTTTTGTCGAGAAAATGTTCTACAAAATATTTAATTTCTCTCCAACTATTTTAAATCCAAAACTGAGGTGTCACTCTATGTGTAGCCAGGTGTGTTACCTAATTACCATGCAACTTTCGAAACAATTAATGTAAGCAGTTGCATGTTCTGTGGTCAGAAATGTGAGGGGTGGTCTTTTCGGCAATTTCTGCCCTTGTATAAAAGCGCATGGGTTTGGTCAATCTTTGGAGTGTATTTAGAGAAGCAACAAAGGGATCGCTCTGAAACTTGTCAGTTACCTTAGAGAAGATATGGTTCGACAGCTAAGCAACGCAGCTTACTATGGGATTCTTGCTCTCAGAGAAAATGGCTAGAAACGGATAGCCATTGCCAGACAATTCAACATTTTTCAGGAACCGTTAATAAAGTCCTCCAAANTACCGTTAATACTGGGAGCCTGTGATTATACATAATACGTACTTTGTCTACGTTTTCATCGCGTATAGACTCGTATTGATCGGTGCATACTTTCCATTCACTCTATCTAAATTGGTCTACCGTAAGAAGCCATAAACGCTGCTTAAATGAAAGATCTTAGGACGCTCGAGTGATTCGCAAACTAATGAAATAATGCCTAAATTGGCACACAAAACAATGGAAGTTTCCCGACTCCCAGTCTTCGATGTTTCTGTTATTGATCCCATAATATTCTTTATTATCTTTCTTTTTATCTTACGATTTCGGTTCCAATATATGACAAGTCCATGCTTAAATATGATGTAGTTAACTTACCGTTCTACGGTCTTTGCTTAATGTGATAAAACCAATGCATTCTCTATACATTATAGGCCTATAGATGATACCAGTTCACAAGCTGGGGAAGATACAGAGAAAACCATGCGGTGATGTTGGATGTATAACACATTCAATCTGTCTTTTAAAACTTTTAATCACTTCTGTATTTCTTCTCCACATTGCGATACTTAAAACGCAGAAGTTACTGTTAATAGCAATGACGCAGCAACTTGCAGACGATGATTGCCCCGCGTCTGCTTTGGGCTTGTCGGTTTATTCTTCGTTAAGTGTGTTTCACTTCATGATTACAAGACGCTGTCCAAACACTTGGCAGCTTGGTCAGGTCAGTCATGTACCCTTCCGTATTTTGGCCATGTATTTCCCATTTAAAACCCGTGGTCAAACGGTCAAGCACTTAAGACGCAGGGCAATGCTTCATCTCCCTAATGTCTTCACAGCTGACTAACTGACGTCATGTCTGCACGTGACGTCAGCTCATTTTCGGTACCTGGATGAGAATAAAGGGTTACAATATCCTGCAACAACTACATCTCTAAAACCAAGAACAGTTGTAAGATAAAACTACTGTGAATGGCAGGTTGTCTTCTTCTGCATCCTTGCTTACTGCTGTCAGTCCTTTTTTTCTTTATTATACATGTCTTGGCTTCTGGTAGAAATATATCTTCTAAGACCTCTAAAATATGATCATTTTATAAGCCTTCATTGTCACTCCCACCACCACCACCATACTGAAACTTTATCTGAAAGCTAAGCAGGCCCCATGAACAAACAGTGCATGACAAAGATTTTTTTATGAATTAAGATACAAAATGTTCAAATTGCTATCATGTGTGTTTAATGCCCCTGGCAGTTGTCCCAAAGTGATAATTAATCAACTGGAAAGAGTCTATAGCAGTCAGTATGAAGACTGAACGCTTGAGACCCCTGGCACTGTCTACACATAGTATATTATAGAGTTTTTGTATTGGATGCAACTTGGCCATAATACCAACTGCTTCGTCAGATATAACTGGAGGCAATTCAATAAGGAA